CAATAAATGCTGGAATATTCCCCTCAGTTCTCAAGTGAAGACGAGCATCTAATCATCAGGAAGAGCTGAAATCTGCAAAGACTGAGTTTATTAAAGAGGACAGAGAGAAGATGAGAGATCCAGAACCCTGCAGAATCAAACACACTGAAGATACTGAAGAACTAACAGGTTGGTGTTTATTCTTCATTTCTCATTCATTCATGATGCAGAAGAACTTAAATAATTCAGATTTAGGTCAATAGTTCAAACATGAAATGGGTAGATTTTTTCTTTATTTTTGGTTTTCAACAAATAGTCAAAGGGAGGTTTCAGAATCTTTAATATTCATTGTCAACATCAGGTCAAACTAAATATTACTTTAGCACAATTTTTGCAATCATTTTAACCACATTTTAATACATTTCTCAGCATAGTTTTTTTTTATCAATAAATAGTACACACCAAAATGTATCAAGTAATGACTTAAGCAAAATCTGATTCATAATTACTGATGAAGTTGTATTTCTCATAAATTATAGCAGTTATTCATAGTTAAAGAGATTATTCTCTGATCAACACTGTACAGTTTGTTTAAAAACTGAGACAATGGATTGAGAAGATTTAATGAAATAATAGCAAACAAGAGTTGTTATATGGAACTGCTATTTAAATGAATATTGTTTATTAAATAGTATTAGTCATAACATCAGACTAATAATCATAGTTTGTGACCGTGAGATCCTTGTTAATGGCCGGCGTGAGAGACTAATCGACACTGGAATCTAAATGAACAAGTAAAATATAAAGCAAAGAGTTAAACAGAGTTATCAAATATCTACTTATATTAATATATAAATGAGCAATAATCAATTCGTTTTTCAACCTAAATTCGAGATGGTGATAACATGGATACCTAATAATTTGCACACTGCTTATAATGTTTTAAAAATAACTGGAAAATCAATGTACCTCATTCATGGAAAGTTTCAGGGACGTATAATTAATTATTAAAAGGCATCAAAATCATCATAAAATTTTATAGCAGTTACATCAGCGCTCACTTTTATGTCCCTTCACTTCATATTTCTTTCTTTGAATTATTTTGATGTACTGATATTAAATGTAAGCTTTTTTTCTTTCAACTCAGAGCTGATGGAAGAGAGCGAGGAGAGTGAAGAACTGAGTGAAGTGGAGGAGAAACATCATGACAAACCTGGAGAAAAACCCTTGAGTCGCTCAAACTCTAAAAAGACATTTTTAAAGAAATCTTTCAGCTGCACTCAGTGTGGAAAGACTTTGACAAGCAAACGTAATCTTGATGTTCACATGAGAATCCACACCGGAGAGAAACCGTTCACATGCGATCAGTGCGGGAAGAGCTTCACACAGAAAGCACACTTTCAAGGACACATGAGGAACCACACAGGAGAGAAGTCATATGGATGTGATCAGTGTGAGAAGAGTTTCACACACAAACACAGTCTTAATGTTCACTTGAGAGTTCATTCTGGAGAGAAACCGTTCACATGCGATCAGTGCGGGAAGAGCATCACACAGAAACAACATCTTACGGGGCACATGAGGATCCACACGGGAGAAAGGCCGTATGCATGCGATCAGTGCGGGAAGAGTTTCACACATTCATCATACCTTCCTCTTCACATGAGGATTCACACAAGAGAGAAACCTTACACATGTGATCAATGCGGCAAAACGTTTCTGTGGGCTTCATGCCTGAAGACACACCTGACAGTTCATACAAAGGAGAAGCCGCATTCATGTTCTTTGTGTGGAAAGAGTTTTTCACTGCTGCATCATCTGAAAGAACATCAGAAAACACATAATGATGTGAGAGACTACATGTGCTTTGAGTGTGACAAGACTTTTACAAAAGCGAACTATTTAAAACTGCATCAGATGATCCACACTGGAGAAAAACCTTATAAGTGTTCACACTGTGACAAGAGATTCAGTCAGGCAACACATCTGAAATCACACGAGAGGATCCACAGCAGAGAGAAACCACACACGTGTGATCAGTGCGGAAAGAGTTTCACTGTTAAACACAACCTGAAGCGACACAAGAGGATCCATGCAGTGGAGAAACCAGATCAGCGTGATCCATGTGAGGAGAGGTTCGTTCAGTTCTCTTCTTTATTCTTTCATACTAAAAACTGTCTGAAATCACAGTAAGTAGTTCATCTTTATGTGCTGAGCAGTAAAGTCTCTTCTGTCTAAGTTAGTTTCCTAACCGCCACACTGAGTGTATTATGTTATAGGACATTTTGTTGTTTGCCTGGTATCTGCTTCAAAATGTTAACATTATTGTGAGACATACTGTAATTATGAGAAAATATTGCATTGTTGCATCTCATAATGAGAAATGTTCTCGTAATAATGCCTTAATATCTCATATAATGATACTTTCATGAAATAATGAGACCATTTTTCATAAGATACTTTCTTGTAGTTATGACTCAATGTCTCATAATGAGACAATTTCTTGTAATAATGAGATACTTTCTCATAATACCTACTTATAAAAACAACTTAACCTCTCATGAGAAATGTTCTCGCAATGACTTAATATCTCATAATAAAGATACTTTTTTGTAACAATGAGATCATTTTTATCTCATTATGAGAACGTATCTGATTATTTTGAGAAAGCATCCGATTATTATATAAAAGTATCGCATTATTAAAAGAAAGTGTCTCATTATGAGATATAAGCTATTATGAGAAAGTATCTTATTATGAGAAACTATCTGATTTTTATGGGATGCATACAAAGTTTCTCATTATTATGACTTACATATTTATATTACTTAACTTTCGAAAACAGACAAAAAAAAAACAGCACAACTTTCTGTTTCTGATGGCTGCTTGTTAATATTAATTTCATCAATAAGTTGTAGCAGACCTAGTTAATTTAAGTTTGTTTTGATCATGAAAAACAACTGAAGAAAAATTGCGTGTTGTAGCTTTGACAAAACCTGATTATCCATGTTATCCTGTGTGATTTGACAGTCTCGAGTTACATGATCAATGCCACTATTTTGCTATGCCATTTCTTTACAAAAATGTGTTTATTTATGTATTTAGTTAGTTAGTTAGTTGAGAACATGTCCAGAGTAAGTTTAACAAATGTTTACCATACAACCTTTTTTTTTTTTTTTTTTTTTTTTTTTTTTTTTTTACATTTCATGGAATTAGTCTTAGTACTTTGTGTAGAATCTGAAATATTTATTATTCATGTCACATCATGTCTATTAGAAATAGACTTTGTTTGTTTTTGGCAGAACTACCACAAATCATACGGAGTTCACGGCAGAAGGAGAGAAGACGAGAGATCCAGAACCTGCAGAATGAAACATCATGATACTGAAGAACAGACAGGTTGGTGTTTATTCTGGATTCCTCGTTCATCATGCTGAAAAAGCTTGTGCTGTGTAGTAAACAATGCTATTGTGATTGTTAGCAGATTACATGTCAAGTCTGTATCATCTAGAGTTTCATGATCAAACTAGTGATTTATTACACAAATCATCTTCATGACATTAAAATAGATCATAATCGTGCACAACTGTTTTTGACCAGATTTGATGGATTAAAATGACTATTAAACTCATCGGTGGTCTTGACTTTGGGGTTTTCATCACTTTTCATTTGACATTTGTCTCTCATTTGAAATCTCACATGATTTAATGTTTCTTTTAGACCTGATGGACGTGAACAAGAAGGAAGCCAAAAACAATCTGTCATCTGCCCTCAGTGTAAAAAGTCATTGACATGTAAACCAAGCCTGAAGATTCACATGAGAGTTCACACTGGGAAGAAGCGGCTCAGGCTTTCATCTGAACTCTCATTCTGAAGAAAGACCATTTAACTGTGATCAGTGCCGTGAACAGTTTCATTGAGCATCAGTCCTGAAGAAACATGGAGGTTCACGCAAAGGAGAAGACTCATTCGTAATATAAGGAAGTGCTTTACTTCAGATGCTGAAAGCTCCACATCCCAAAAGTGTGTTCCTGAGTTAAAACCCTCTGAACCCAGAACACAGAGACACTCATCAAATCTCTCTGGATTATCAGGAAAAGGTCGTTTGTTCTCGCTGTTTGTCACACTGCTCAGATCACCAGACAGAACGAGACGTCGATGAGCAGTGTTTGGATCCAGAATCACAGGAGCTGATGAGACCCAATCAACAGATGCTGTTATTCTGATGATCATATAATATTTGAATTCCTTTTTTGTAAAGCACTTTGAATTACCATACTGTATGAAATGTGCTATATAAATAAACTTGCCTTGCCTTACATGCACCGAGAGTAATGCTTACTCGGACCAAAAACATTAGGACTTTTCACACTACGTTTAACCCATATGGCTTATTATTTTAGCTATAAAGTTGGATTTATCTGATCACTACAATGCATTTTGATTGATCTTACATTTCAGCAAATGCTGTATTAAAATAATTTCAGAGCTCTGTATAGGTCATTACACACAAAAAAAACATCTGCATCATTTTAAGTGGATGGTTAGTTTACATAGTTATAAAGTAATAGCCTAAAAATAACCATTAACATTCTGTATCAGTTATTTTAAGTTATTCACTGTCAATCAGTAACACAGTATGTTTGTGAGTCACCGAGTCATACACTGCATTCCGAAATCGCATACTTCCCTACTCTATAGTAGGCAAAAAACAGTATGCGAGGTGAGTAGTATGTCCAAATTTATAGTATTCGAAAAACAGTAAGTGACCTACTTCTTCCACCCGGATTCTGAAATGTGCATTTGATGGACACTTTACTATTCCATGAGGCCACGGGAGAGGATTTATGAATGGCAGTGGTCATGTGAAAGTAACAACATGGCGGATATAGTGCGGATATAGGATGTCCAAATTTCATTCATACTACTCATATTCATCCTACATAGAACATACTTTTTTAACAGTCGTGAAGTAAATTCAAATGTAGTACCTACTCAGACAGTACGCGATTTTGGACGCACCTATTCATAGCTTTCAGTCACGTGACCGGCTCGAAGACCTGGAGGGCAAAATATCCATAGAACTGGAGGACAAGCCTGTCAATTTTCCATCTGTTTCACAGTCGCAAGTATTTAGATCACCTCTCAAAAGAATACAACAAAGGTATGTCAACAAAATGCCAGTTTTGGCCATTTGCAATCCATATTAAGCACCCACGGCAATATTTCAATCATTAAATAGTGCGACAAAACGTTGTAAAAACACTTAAAGTGCCTTAATATATTTAAAACAGTAATATTCTCTATATTAATGATGCATAGTTTACATAGGCAAGCAGATGAGGCTGGAATATGAACGCAATCCACTTAATGGTTCAGTGTTTTCCTTCTAATGGTTTTCTATGGGAAACCATTTAACCTGTGTCACGAATCCGGTCTATGAACTTCCGTTCACTCGCCACCAGAGGTCACCCGCTCACTACGTGGACTCTCACACTACACAGACTGTTACACTATACCCTGGACTACATTTCCCATCATCCATTGCACTGATTGCACATAGCTGTAACCAATCACACGCTCTCCTGAAAGCTATTACACACACTATATAACACCCACTCAGATCTTGCTCAAGTCGCCGAGTATTGTTCTAAGTTTATCACTCTCCTAGTGATAGCTGCTTTACGAAGCCATTCCGAGTTTTCTGAGGGAAAGTCTAGTTTATTCCTGTTTAATGCCTTAGCCATTCGTGTCTGTATGATCTCTGCCTGCCCTGATGTACTGTATATCGCCTGTCTTGGATTACGTCTCACCCTGTTCGGATACTGTTTACCCCTCGCCTGTGCTTCAGATTACTCTTCAGTCTTGCCCTCTATATACCTGTCTTCCATTGTCCGACTCTTGCCTGTGTTGACCATGTCTTTAAATAAAGCCTTGCAGATGGATCCGCACGTCTCTCGTCTCGTCAGCTCCGTAACAGAATACTCGGCTGCACAAGGATCCAGCAGATGTTCAAGTGGACATTGGTCAGGTATGGACACAGCAAGAATATTATTAGCCCTTAAACAAGGCCCACGATCGTTAGAGAATCATATTCGAGAATTTTTAGCCATCGCTCACTATTCAAATTTACCGGACATTATTTTGATAGAGTTTTTCTGTGATGGCATTAATCAACCTTTAAGGTCTAAGCTTAGACGCGAAGGTCCGCGTTCGTCACTCAGTCAGTTTCTGGACTATGCTCTGTTGACTGTTGGTTCATCGTTTACTGTGGGTGTCACGGAGGAACGCGACCCCACATTCACTCGTGTAATGCCGGCCGCACTAGAGCACGCTCACAAAATGGCGGCGACAGCGGCTGAGGCAAGTCAAGTCACAGTTGATCGTCATGAGTCAAGTCAAGTTAATGTGGATTTTCATGAGTCAAGTCACAGTTGATCGTCATGAGTCAAGTCAAGTCACAGTTGATCGTCATGAGTCAGGTCTAGTCACAGCTGATCTTCATGAGGCAAGTCACAGTTGATCGTCACGTCTCAGCTGAACTTCCAGTGTCACGTCACATCACAACTGATCATCCAGAGTCACGTCACATAACGTCTGTTCGCTCAGAGTCCTGTCACTTCCTGTCTGTTGCACCCAGATCCTCAAGGACTGTTCTTCAGTATCCCAGACTGGCATCCAGCGTGGAGGACCCACCACTGGTGTCGGCACGTGCAGCTGGTATCCTTAAACCAACGCTCTCAAGCCCTCCAGTTCCTGAGCTATTTCTCCTGTCTGTAGCGCTTCCCACAATGGGGATCGCTTTATGGTG